GCAATGAAGTTGTCTAATCAAGATATTAGAAAATCTGCATTTTCAACTCATCTTTAAAGACTCATCCTCTTCATGATTTCGAAAACGTATTATCTACAGTAAAAGTGGCCGATACCTGTATAACGATGCATCCTAGCATCGTTCCGATCAATATCCGCCGGATAAAAGCGCCGCTAAACCTTTTAATATTTTTTGCGTGTAATTACGACTTACAACCTACAAATCATACATAGACACTTAGCGCGGCGCAGCAAAAATATCCGAACGTGCCCGAGGGGACCTGAACGCAGAATTCGAATCGCGGCAAACAAGTAAATATGTGACAAACAAATTATTTATTTTTTAATTATCGTAATTAGGGAAAATAATTACCCGCGGATCGATCCGAATCTCTTCGAAACCATCGGAATTTATCGATCCGCGATCGGGGTATAAAAAGCCCGATTCCTGACAGCAATAAGACGAGATTCTCGAGTTCCTCGGAATCATCCACCGGGCTCGCGTAAGGGAGATCGATTCCGATCTCGACGAAAAGAAGCTTGAGAACGAGATTGTGCGTTCGCAATCCTAGCCAGGAGTTACTGGTAGGAGCCAATCTTCGAATCCTTTCCGAACCGTCGAATTCGCTGACTGAGAAAAAACCCGGGGTAACGTCATTCGCTTGTATAAATGTTTTATAAACGTTTTTAAAAGTTATGTAAACTTTTTTACAACTTTGTGCTCCTTGGAAATATGACGAGCACGTGATGCGCATGTGAGGGAAATCTGTAAGAATGGATAAGTAAAACGAACAAATTAAACGAATTGCTTTTTCGCTGGTACGTGAATTATTAATATTCTGTATACGCGCATATGCTCGTCGGATTCGGAATTACGAAAGAATTACGACGAAAAGGCGAATATATTTGGATTAATTATTAATTATTTATTGAGATTAACTTAGATACAACGAATCGATGAAAGCGCAGATATTTACAACGAAGAATTATAATTTGTTTAACATGCGGCTGGTTATTTACAATGAAGGATCGGAATCGGTTTAATACACGGCGGATATTTGCAGCGAAGAAGTAAATTGAAAGAAGTTGCTGCGGTTCTCTTCGTACGCGTTGCAAAGTTTCACGCAGGTGCAACGTAACACGAATTTAATGGCTCCAATGCGAGCGTCACAACAATAAAGACATTACGCTTTTTGTTATTCGAATACTGATCTTTTTCGTCATCTTATACAATTTTAGGAAAATTACAAAATGAATAATAATCATACTAGAAAAATGAAATGAATAAAAAACGAAGATATTTAAATTATTATTAATTTGTGTTTGCAACTGTATATATATATATGTATGTAAAATGTGTACAAAAAGTATATTTATAAAAATTATTTATTGAATGCATGAATTTTTGGGGGATCAAGGCAATAAAAGCTGAAATCTTTTACGCTGTCTTTTCGAACATGAAAATAATATTCAAATATAAACGATAGGTATGACGATATAAACTTCTCTTCGTGTCTCACATAAACTTTTTTATTCTTCGGCCTCTTGCTTGCTTTCTCGAAAGTCAAGAGAGCGAAGGTTGGTACATTGTGCGTGCACACCGCCGCGCGGGAGACCCTCCGGCTGACCCTGCTACCAAGGGTGGAGCTTAAAATAAGGGTGGTGCCTCTCGCTTACCCATCCCATCGGGAAACAGCGTTGGATGGGATGAGCAAGGAGCGGAGTTGAAGCATAGAGGAGAGCATTGCTTCGACAGTAAAAGAGAGACTTATTGTGAAATGAATGCGCACTAGTCGAGAGGAAAGTGGCGAAGATGAAGAAGAGAGGATACGTCTTTTTTACATTTGTACAGTGATCTGCTAACATCAGCGGCAATTTTATTTTAAAATCGATGAGAAAATCGATATTATTAAGGGCACGGATAGTTATATCATTAAAGTTGTATCATTAAACGCACGTCGATCGACAATCGAATCACTGTTAGGAATCTGGTGATATAAAAGTCGCAATAACGACTGATCTTCAGAGCAGTTTCTTATACACACGTGTTCGGAATTAATGGGTAAGTAGTTTATTACATTGTTATGTTTGTTTTGCCAAAACATGGAAAATTGTTCAATTAATATTTTACATTTCAAACAAAACTTCTCATTATTAACAGTTCTCATTATTGACAGTATAATAAATTTTATTAATTTGTTATCAACTTTTGTACACAATTTTATGACATATATCTAGTCATGATTAATTTTCGCTTTCTAATTATTCTATGAGTATTAATTGCTTAGAAACTATGTGCAGAAACGTATACGTGAATTTATGCGTTGCATAAAATGGCGCCAATCTCTAGTCAACCGCTAATGAAATGTATACATTTCCAACAGAATATTAATAACTTCCTACTATTAATAACAATATAAAATTTGTTAATTTGTCTTTTGTACATAATTTTGTGACACACAGCTAAATCATAATTAATTTTCTTTCTCTAATTATTCTATGAAAATTAATTAATTTTTTTATGCGAACTATACAGAAATATATGTACATCGATTTTACATGAAAATATAAATTTTTAAATATTAATTTCTTTAATTTTAAATTAAATTGTATATTATTATTTACATATGATTTATTCCTTAATTATTATTTTATTTTATTAAATTTATTATTTCTATCTCTCATTCTCATATTCTTTATATATATAATTTTAATTTGATTTAGAAATTACAAATTTCTTATTTATTGGTCTAATAAATTTTTATAAATAATAAAAAAAATATCTTTTATTCAAATTATTGCTTTATTAATTTTAATTTTTCATTTTTTATTAATAATGCACAGAAAACGATTCCTTTAAATTTAATAAATTTAGATTAAAAGAAATTTATCTTTTGAAATAGTTCAACAAACCAACTGTTGATTCAACAAAATTCGATTCTTTAATTTTCCAAGTAATAAACAACTTTATTTCAAATAAAATATTTGTTTAATAAATTGTTTAGAAAAAATAATGCTTTTTATTATATGTTTTGACAATATTAAAAAGTTTCTTTCATTTATATAATATTTAATTCAGCAAAACAAAATATTATTTAGTTAGTTCCAAGACTTTACTTTATATTATTTAGTTCCAAGATTTTACTTTATATTATTTAGTTCCAAGACTTAACTTTTATTTCCTTTAATTAATAATATTCTTTGTATTAAAGCACACATGGTGCAAATATGGTGAACATATGATGAACAGCTGTGTTTTCTCGGAATATCCGAGAATCGATATTAGACAGATTGCGAAATGAAGTTGCGAAATGCATACCGGTAACCTAAATCTCATAAATATTTCATATTATTATTTAATATAAGCAATATTTAGCAACTAAAATAAAATGAAATAAACGAGAAATGAGTAATATAGACAAAAACTTAACAGAAAGAAGAACTACATTTTGTTTTGTAAGAGCTAATAACATTTAAAAAAATCAGATATGAAAATCAGAACTGATGTTAATTTTTGATCTATATAGCCAATAAATAAAATAATCATATAAGTTTATTTCGAATTATTATATTTTCATAAAAACAATTTATTGTAGAATATTTTACATTAATTGCACATATACACATTTGCAATAATTATAAATATTAAATCGATATTTGCATTATATCTATCAAGTTTCTTAAATCGTATAATAAAAATAATAATTTAAATAAAAAGACATATATTTAATAAAAATTATTCTTTCCAATATTCTTTCTGTTTTGCAGATAGCAGTTCTTCAGACAGCAATAACTCCACCACGTCTGATGGTTTACAAGAAATAAAAGAAAAAATAAGGAAGCAGCGCGAGAGCGCCGCAAAAATGAAACTCGGATATCTAAAGAGCTGGCAAGCTTGTTGCTACTTCCGGCCACGATTACTAAGCAGTTGGATAAGGCCAGCGTTATCAGATTAACTATCAGTTATCTGAAAATGCGACCTATCTTTCACGGTAAGAAATGTAACAATTATCCAAATCTCTTGTATTTGGATATAATCGAAAACGCGTTTAATTTGACAAAATATTGATATGTCTATAAGCAATGCCACTTTATTTAAAATCATGTAAAACCAAAGACACGCTATTTAATCTCGCTAACTTAATCTCAGTGCGTTAAATGAGCGTTAACGATCACGAATCGATCCGGGATTTTTTTTTATTTTTAATCGGTTGTATAGAGCTGATATTCGTGAATTTAGCAACCGAATTCTTACGCGCAAAAGCCAAATAATATTGATTAAGATAGATATGTGATTGCGCACTTAATACATTTATTTTTAATCCCTGGTACTTTGTAAGCAAAGCACGGGGATCGTTATAATGTTACAATGACATCCCTCAGTTCGGTTCCTCCTCTTATAACATCGACGAATTGAATTTCAAGTGACTGCATCTCTCTAAAACGACCGTCCCGTCTTTATTCTCAGGGCAAAAGAGATACAGAACTTTCACGAGGACATTTTTGAAGGCGTTTCTTTACTCGCTTTGCCGAAGAGCGAACGTGAAATTTCTCGATCGCTGTCGATTACCATTGTTAGATTAACTTTCTATAATTCAAAACAACTATCGAAAATAAATCGATATTAAATATTATTACATCGCCATTTCAAATCTTTTGCCTGTGATAATAGCAATATCAGTTTAGATTTTAAGATTATTTAAAAATAATCATCGATGTCTACATCAAATCTCGATCAAGTCAAGTCCATTATAACATTCTTTCACACTTCATTTTTTTATGCTTCATACTCATATTAAATTTCATTAATGTTAGAATTCGCGACGATAGCGAAAGATTTTGAACCACGACGATGACTATTTCTTTCCTTCGAGATAGATCGAGTTGTCTCTTAAACGCGTCCTGTTGTATGTACAATAATAAAGATTGTAAAATCTGAGACGTATTATATATTGAAACAGCTTCATTGATTTTTCGTGTCAGTTGATAATCAAATTCAAAGAAAACTCCAAAAGACAATGTCTAAAATGTCCCATTCGAATATAGACATAGCACGTGGCATAGAACGATTCTTAAAAATCGCCCGAGAATTAGCAAAAAGTAATATATCGGAAAAAAAATTCATAATCAAATTAAATTTCTTAGAATGCTTTTTTACGCGTCTTAATAATTCTACAAGATGTTCTTTTAATTCGTGCTGTCTTCTTATAGTAAATTTCAAAATATGCCTCAAAAAATGTTTTGAAAATAATACGAAAATAGAATTGAATTCTGTTGATAAAAAGACGATTCATAAGGCTCATTTCTCATAAAATCTTACGCAACGATAGAAAATTCTTCTATTGAATTGCATGCTACAATTAATGTTACGTTTAATAATCAATATAATGTATATATTTTTGCACGCTCGTTGTTTGATAATAAAAGCAGATAATCATTAATTTTGCAGATTTAGGAAATGGACGGAGTGCACCATCGCCCGATAATTCTTTGAAAACCATCGTCGAACTAGGCCATCTTTTACAAGTAAGTGATCATTATTCATATTTACCCCGACTTATCACATAACATAATAATAATTATTTGATTGCAGACACTGGATGGCTTTATCTTTGTCGTGGCACCGGATAGAAAAATTATATACATCAGCGAGACAGTTAGTGTGCATTTAGGTTTGTCCCAGGTAAAAGGTACACCTTTATCAAACTTAATTAATAATTCAATGTTTCAGAAAGATGTGCTTAGCAACGTGCTTGGTTACATTTACATACTTGATATAGTTTAATTATTTCTCTCTAAATATGTACACACCAACGAAATATTAAAAGATAAAGATGAATAATGTCAAAAGTATTTTTTAAAGTAATTTTTCATTTACTTTTCACAAAATTATATGATTTGTATATGTGTCACATTATCTCGTCGTGTACATCTTATATTATTACGTTGCGTAATGGAAATCCGCGTTAATCTGAACTATTGACGGAAATTGTCTATACATGCAGGTGGAGTTAACGGGAAAAAACATATTTGAATATATTCACCCGGATGACCGCAACGAAATGGTTTCCATAATGAATCTTCCGCAGAGCCCTGCAGGTCTCGCAGATTTTACATTTTCACCGCCAAATTCGCGAGGAGAAATTGATCTGGAACGTGCCTTCCTCCTCAGGATGAAGTGCATTCTAGGAAAAAGAAGAGCGGGTCTGGTTACGAAAGGATACAAGGTAAAGAAAGCAAAGAAATAAAATTTTCATAAAAAGCATGTTAATATGACAAATATTTAAAATAAATGTATTTAAATTTTTGATAATAATATTTAAAATATTTATATATATAATATAAAATATATATATATATATATATTATAATATAATTATATATATATATAAAAAGTTTAATATGTTACTTAAAGCTGTTTAAAGGTGCGTGTACACCTAACGAAAAAATAACAAAAAAAACGAACAAGTGAGATATTCGCATCTAAACGCGCGCGAATTTCCTTCAAGACCATCTGATGAGCCACCTTATAAGCCAATGGTTCGAAACATTCAGATTCATTACGCATTTTTAAACATACGCATTTTCCAAATTATAACAACAAAAATTTGCATTCGCTGTTAGTTCATTGTTCGCTTATTAGGTATATATGTACTTCAATATGCAATAATTTAGACAATTATATATTTTTTGAGAAATTTTTAAAAGCGCATAGCATAATCACAATACTTTCATTTTATGTTATAGACTATACATTGTTCCGGTTATTTAAAATTGAAATACAGT